ACCTACAACATCTAGTTATGTTATAAGATTACAAATAAACTTGTTGAAAGGTTATTATAATCTAGATTCAGGGTTGTACTTCCCCTGTTGGGGGCCATTTGGTAATTTGTAATTTTTTTTGGGGGGGGTCCTGTCGTGGGGCCTGAACTCTGGGCCTGGGTGCTGTCCCTTAGCTCTTCAGCTAGCGCTGTACCACTTGAGCCACAGCGCCACTTCCGGCTTTTTTTCTTTTTGCTTATGTGGTGCTGGGGAATCGAACCCAGGGCTTCAGGCAGGTAAGGCAAGCCCTCTACCACTGAGCCACCTTCCCAGCCCCGGTAATTTGTAATTTTGTTCCAGGCCATACAAAATCTCAGTGCAGGGAAATAGCCATGAGTTATATATGTAAACATGTCAGAATCTTATGTATCTGTTCAGTTATGTACCGAGTGATTTTTGGGGTCCTTAAGTGGCCTAAGGGCTGGAGGTTCCTAACCTCTTGGTAATAGTGGTAGGACTAGGTTACATATACAATCAGCTAAAATTTATTCAGAATTAGGGTACCATATAGGCAAACAAGTGAGGACAAAGCAGAACAGAAATGCTGTATTGAATTACAGGGCAATTTTTGTAAAGTTTTACACTTTTCTAATTCCCTCTGGTCCTGGGGCTTCAACTCTGGACCTGGGTGCTGTCTCTGGGCTTCTTTTGCTCATGGCTAGCACTCTACCACTTGAGCCACAGTGCCACTTCCGTGCTTTTTCTGTAATTAATTGGAGATCAGAGCCTCATGGGCTTTACTTCCCCCCTTGGCTTCAAAACACAAACCTCAAACTCTCAGATCTAAGCCTCCTTAGTAGCTACGATTACAGGTGTGAGCCACCAATGCCTGGCAACTTTTCTAATCTTAGTGATAACAATTGTAGTTTGGAGAGGAAGAACCAATGGTATTTTATTCAGATGAGTGATGGAGACAAAAGTTTGTATAAAGAGAATGATTCTGGACTGCTGGCCTTGCAGTTCTTTACTCTGAGGTTTATTCAATAGTAAGTTGAAGTCTTTGTGTGGCTTAGTTCCCGGTGGAAGAAAAAGAACAAAGGAAGCCTAGTAAAGGGTAGAAGCGTATTCTCCATGTAAATGAAATGGACAGAAACACTAGTTTTAGGGAGAGGCCCCAGTTATCTACTGCAACCAGAATCAACATAATATATTTAAGTAACTGTTTAAGAGTAACTTTTTAATTCCAAGTATATTAATGTGTTTCATTGTGATATGAAATGGCTACTCTGTTAAAAGTTAACATTAGGTTAACTTTTCAAAAACTTCTGAGGTGTGGCTAGATTACTAGCTAAGTTACCATTGACATACAAATTGAATACAAATTGAATGTTACAAAAATTAGTGGGTACCCTTAATAAAAATGACTTGGAATAGCTACTTCTCAGCTCTGTTGTTGTTGCTTTCAGAAATACTTTGTTTGCCCTCAAAGCATTAATTTAGATGATTAACTACTATTTAGTAGATACCATGGAACACTAAAATTTGAGTTTCTTCTCTAATAATTATAATCCAGAGGCCATCTTTACAAATACATGTTGTGGCAGCTAGATTTGGCAAATGCAAGGAGTCAAAGTGTAGTAGTAGTTCAAGTGTAGAAGAGAGGTTTGATCATAAAGACAAATGGTTGACATCCATAGTCAGGCCCAGAATTAGAGTGAAAGTTTATAATTTTTTTGTTGTTTGATTTTCTTTAAGAGATCATTTAAAGCCTAGGAAATCTTAAAATTTAGGCCTATTAAATGTGCTTTGCATTTCAGCTAAATGGGATGTAGAGATCCTTGGATTAAGATTAGGAAGATTAGAGCTTGAGGCCAACCCAAGTGACCCCCAACATTGCAAAATGGAGGTATATACCTGTGATTCAGATAGGTGGGAGGCATAGGTAACAGGATCTCTGGCCGTGTTTGGGCAAAAACCATAAAGATCCTGTCTGAAAAATTAGCTCAAGCAAAAGAGCATAAAGAGGTGGCTCAAATGGTAGAGCCTAGCAAGAGGGAGGCCCTGGGTTCAAACTCTAGTACTGCCAAAAATAAATTTTATTTTATTTTTTTGGGTCCAGTTGTGGGGCCTGAACTCTGGGTCTGGGCGCTGTCCTTCAGCTCTTCAGCTCAAGGCTAGCACTCTACCACTTGAGCCACAGCGCCCCTCTTGGCTTTTTTTTCTTTTTGCTGAGGAATCCAACCCAGGGCCTCATGCATGCAAGGCAAGTGCTCTACCACTTGAGCCACCTTTCCAGCCCCAGATTTTTTTTTTTGTATGCAGCACACACCCACTAGAATATGTGTAGACTGATGAAATACAAAATTATAAATAATTGTAGAATTTTAAAAATCATATTGTTAGCTGGGTGCTGGTGTCTCATGCCTTTAACTAGCTACTCAGGAGGCTGAAATCTGAGGATCACGGTTCAAAGCCAGCCTGGGCAGGAAATTCCCTGAGACTTTCTCTCCAATTAACCACCAGAAACCCGGAAGTGGTGCTATGACTCAAGGGGTAGAGCGCTTGCCTTGAGCTGAAGAGCTGAGGGGCAGCTCCCAGGCCCAGAATTCAATCTCACAACCGACAAAAAAGTCATATTGCTCTGGGTACTTTATTTTTTTGTAGCAGTATTTGTTAAACTTAAAAGAATCTAAACATTTTAAAGCTTTAACTCTAATACTAAGGGTACCTTTAAGCATGTACAAAAGTAGTGGCGATGGGATGACCATGCCTCCCCCCAATGTATATTTTTTCACAAACCTTCAGCACATTTTACCTCATAACAGTCTAATTTCATCTCACAACTCCTACCTGCTACTCTCTTCCACTTGTCTTAATATAATTGTTCCTTGTGTTGGCCTTCTGCATGGTAGATGATACTGATGAAGAAAAAAGCCATTAAGCTTTACCTGGTGGTTGTAAATTAAAGAATTATTAGTCATTGATATCGTAATCACATGTATTTTATAAAGCTTCAGTGACACTTAACTGTATGTATACAAAGTTTACATGGTCATTCTGTGAACTTATTAAAAACCAAAAATAAGTTGGTACTGGTGTCTCATACCTGTAATCCTAGCTATTCTGGGGACTGAGATTTGAAAATCATGGTTTGAAATCTGCCAGTGGAGGAAAGTTCATGAGGCTCTTATCTCAAATTAACCACCAGAAAACCAGAAGTGGCCCAGCAATGTGGCTCAAAGTGCTAGAGCACTAGCCTTGAATAAATGAGCTCAGGGAAAGGACCCAACCCCTGAGTTTGTTTGTTTTGACAAAAATACAGACACACACAAAAATTGGAAGCTGAACCTCAGATTAAACACCACGAATCCACTAACCTAGATATTTTTTAAATTGGTTATGCTAAAAGTTAACCTTTATACCATCCCTTTTTAGCAGTTACATTCTCATTTCTTTAAAGACTTCAGGGGATAGAATTTATTATACTTTAAGGAAAGCTGCTTTTGTACAATTTTGCATTGGATTCATAGTTTAGAGCATTCAAAACAACTTCCTTATTTTTATTTTTATTTTGTTGGTTAATTGGAGATAAGAGTCTCATGGTCTATCCTGCCTGGGCTGGCTTTGAACTGTGACCTCTCTCTCATATTGCTGCCATCTGAATAACTAGTATTATAGGTGGCTTTTTTTTTTTTTTTTTTTTGGGTCCGGTCGTGGGCCTGAACTCTGGGCCTGGGCGCTGTCCCTCAGCTCTTCAGCTCAAGGCTAGCGCTCTACCACTTGAGCCACAGCACCACTTCCGGCTTTTTTCTTTTTGCTTATGTGGTGCTGAGGAATCGAACCCAGGGCCTCGAGCATGCAAGGCAAGCGCTCTACCTCTGAGCCACCTTCCCAGCCCCGGCTTTTTTTTTTTTTAATACTTTTGATTTGTATAGAGTTTTGTGTGTGTGTGTGTGTGTGTGAGAGAGAGAGAGAGAAAGAATGTTGATGCTCACCTGTAATCTCAGCTTCTTGGTAAGTGGAAGTTGGAGGGTTACAACGTCTCACCAAAGTTAATTTGAGACTCAATCTAAAAAACAAAGGGCATATTTAAGTGGTAGAATGCTTGGAGTTTCTGAGTAGAATCTCTGAAAAAGTTTTTTTCTTTTCCTTGGGTTTTATCCCTAGTACAAAGTTATACCCAATAATTGTTGATGGGATGAGCAAGTGAGTTCAGATTATATTTATACAAAAGATCTCTCAAAAATGTTTAGTGTATAGATTATTAGCTAACCAGGTACAGTTCTTTTCTAAAATTCTCTAAACAAAGGGGCTCAGATGCAGTTACTTCCTTTTTGCAGTCAAGTGAGTTCTACCCATTGAGGTTATCCTGGTTTCCTGGCTAGTCAGGCAGCTTGTTTGTTTTGTTTGTTTTGTTTTGTTTTTTGGTCAGTCGTGGGGCTTGAACTCTGGGCCTGGGCGCTGTCCCTCAGCTCTTCAGCTCAAGGCGAACCACTTGAGCTAAAGCGCCACTTCCGGTTTTCTGGTGGTTTATTGGAGATAGGAGTCTCAAGGTCTTTCCTGCCCGGGCTGGCTTTGAACTGCGATCCTCAGATCTCAGCCTCCTGAGTAGCTAGGATTACAGGCGTGAGCCACCAGCGCCCGGCTCTGTATCCCTATTTAAACAATTTGTTTTTTCCCTTCCCCTCCACAAATTATACCAACATCAAATACAGTGAAAGCAGGGGTTATACCATGGGGGAGGGACATACAGCTTTGCTATCTTTAACATGTGACTTCCAGTTATATAGTTATGGTTATTTTCATCCACCAGAAAGGGATGGTAATGGGGAGGAGGATAGATTATATAAGATTACATATAAAGATTATATAAATGATACTTCACTTTTGGTCATATCACATTGACTAAAACCTGTTCACATAGCCACATCTAGCTGAAAGAGATAATTGGAAATTTTATCTTTAGCTTGATTGGTATGTATTTGTTAGCCAAAACTTGAGGTGCATGTCTAATTCTACAGGGCAAAGAAACCGAAATACCAGTGGAAGAGGAGAGATAGAAGGTAGGCTATGAATAAGTTTTTTGTGAACCAAACATTAAGGAATATTGTTTCAAAACAAATTACTTCCATCTTCCTACTTGTGGCTTTCCTTTTTCTGAATATTCTCACTTCTATGTATGTATATGAGATTTGTGTATTTGTGTTGAAATTTGCTTTTTACACTTAGCCTTCTCTGAATCTCCTTTGTTCATTCATAATACGTATATGAAAAGATTAAACAAAAATATGATATCTGATACATAGTACAACTAGTAACCATTTTACTCTCTTTTTATTATACTATTTTGAAGATTCTGGTGTGTGTGTTGGTTTAGTCATAGACATTTTCTGAATATTTAAAATTATAATAGGCCTAGAAAGAACACCTAAAGCAGTTTTTTGTTTTTGTTTTTTTGTCAGTCGTGGGGCCTGACCTCTGGGCCTGGGTGCTGTCCCTCAGCTCTTTATCTCAAGGCTAGTGCTCTGTCACTTGAGCCACAGTACCACTTCCAGGGTTTTCTGCTTATGTGGTACTAAGGAATTAAACCCAGGGCCTCATGCATGCAAGACAAGCACTCTACTACTGAGCTACCTTCTCAGCCCCATAAAGCAGGTTTTTTTTGGGGGGTGGGTCCGGTCGTGGGGCCTGAACCCTGGGCCTGGGCGCTGTCCCTCAGCTCTTCAGCTCAAGGCTAGCACTCTACCACTTGAGCCACAGGGCCACTTCTGGCTTTTTTTTTCTGCTTGTGGTGCTGAGGAATCAAACCCAGAGCCTCATGTATTCAAGGCAAGTGCTCTACCACTGAGCACCTTCCCAGCCCAAAGCAGGTTTTTTTTGAACTAATTTTGATCTTCCATTTAGGAGAAAGATGAATGGTCCTTTTCTGTAATAGCTGTCAATATTAGACTTCTATTAAGTGTCAGACAGTTTGGTTTATACAGTTTATATCTTTTTATCTTGCCAGAATTTTGAGGTGTATTTCCATGTGGCAGAAAGCCAAGGCTTATGTAATGGTTGTACAAATATAAACACAGTTACAATGACAAGAAAGGGCTGTAAATCTTGAAAAAAATTGTAGTTGGGCTTAAAATACCATCCAGTTAGCCCTTAATTTTCCCTCACATATCTTTCAAAAATTCTTTTTTTTTTTGGTCGGTCATGGGGCTTGAACTCTGTCTAGGCCTGGGTGCCGTCCCTGAGCTCTTCAGCTCAAGGATAGAACTCTACCACTTGAGCCACAGTGCCACTTCCAGCTTTTGCTGTGTATGTGGTGCTGAGGAATTGAACCCAGGGCCTCATGCATGCAAGGCAAGCACTCTACTCCTGAGCCACCTTCCCAGCCCCTCAAAAATTCTTTTTAAAAAGAATCTCAAAGCAATTATTTTGAATGGCATTGGCACTTACCTATTATGATAGAGGGAAGGCAACAAGAGAATTAAGCAAACTGTCCTGTGGAATAATAAAAACAGTTCCTTGACTTAAGTATAGCTCAATTTGCCTGGCACACACAGTCAACCAGTATAATTATGTAGGAAATCAGTTTTGGTTTGCCTAGTTTAGGACGAGTTTCAGTTGAGATTGGAACTAGGTAGAAATTTGGTTGCAGCTGAAATTAAGTGGTAACTTGCTGTGAATCAAAACATTGGAAGAATTGGCTTTCTATGAAAAGGTTTTAAGAAAGAAATCCTTTACATGCATTCAAGAATACTTTCTTTTTTTTGGGTCCATTCGTGGGGCCTGAACTCTGGGCCTGGGCGCTGTCCCTCAGCTCTTCAGCTCAAGGCGAGCGCTCTACCACTTGAGCCACAGCACCACTTCCGGCTTTTTTTTGCTTATGTGGTGCTGAGGAATCGAACCCAGGGCAAAGTGGTAGAGCGCTTGCCTTGCATGCCTGAGGCCCTGGGTTCGATTCCTCAGCACCACATAAGCAAAAAAGAAAAAAGCTGGGAGTGGCGCTGTGGCTTAAGTGTTAGAGTGCTAGTCTTGAGCTGAAGAGCTGAAGGACAGCACCAAGGCTCAGGGTTCAGGCCCCATGACCCGACCCCCCCAAAAAAAAACCAAAAAAAGAGAATACTTTCATTATTAGATAAAATAAAAAGCAGTATGAAAATATTTTGTAAACTATAGAACTAATACGTTTAAAAAATGACACAACTGGAAAAAATGAGAAAAAATACCATAGGAACTAATGAGATTATATAAATGTATGAAAAATTCTAAGTATTAGACATTTGTTTGGGGAAGGTGATTTGTGAGTTAGAGTTAAGGGTCTCATCTACAGAACCATTGTCACTCACTTGGTTTTAGGCAGTTTTGGCCATGTGGGAAGCACTCAGTGTATCAGATTTTCTGATTCTTCCCAAGTTTTTTTTTTTTTTTGTCAGCTGTAGGGTTTGAACTCAGTCCCTTAGCGCTGAGCCTGAGCTTTTTCGCTCATGGCTAGCACTCTAGCGCTTTGAGCCATAGCTCCACTTCTGATTTTCTTGTGGTTAATTGGACTTTTTCATGGACTTTACTGCCTGGGCTGGCTTTGCAGCATGGCCTTCCCATCTCAGCTCCTGAGTAGCTGGGGTTACAGGTGTTAGCCACTGGCCCTTGGCTCCAAAGTCATTTAGATTTAACCGTTTCAAATTAGTTGACTTTGAGGAAAGAAAAAGAAAAAAAGTCAAAAACAAAAAAAAAACCCTCAAGTTATTTAATGAAAGAAACTTGAATGAGAATTTGTGTGGGAGATTTAGGTTTTAAAGTGCTTTTGAATAAAAAGATAGTATTAGTGATATATTAAAAATATTCAGTCTGGAAGTGGCGCTGTGGCTCAGGTGGTAGAGCTCTAGCCTTGAGCTGAAGAGCATAGGGACAGCAACCAAGCCCAGAGTTCAAGCGCCCCATGACCAATAAAAAAAAATTCAGTCGGGTAAAGTACTAATAATTAAGTCACTTATTATGTAAAAACATTCCTGTGCTCTTTTTTGGGGGAGGTAGATGGGTGTCATTTCAATTCTTGGTCTTGAACTCAGGGCTTGGGTGCTGTCCTTGAGCTCTGGGTGCTTTGCCACTTGAGCCACAGGTCCACTTTCAGCTTTTGTGATGATTAATTGGGAATAAGTTTCACAGACTTTTCTGCCAGAAGACTTCTGACTTTCAACCACCATCATCAGATAACAGCTCCTGGGTAAAACCAGGATTACAGGCATGAGCCACCAGTACCCAGTCCTGTACTTATTTAGTTTATGTTAAATGCCCAATTCCTGAAGTACTCCCCTCTCTGTAGGGGAGGTCTAGGAAAAGCATGTCTTGAGAATAGGGTATTAGGGAAGAGGATATGAGATAATTAACAAACTTTGTCGGTAGTTATAGCTACTTGTACCAAGGCTGGGAGGTGGAAAAGAAGCATGGCAAATTGCAAGACTGAAGGAAGTAGGCACAAATAAAGACTAGAAATAGAATGGTTTTAGATTAAGTTGCAAAGTTAGAGGTCAGATTTTTATCCCAGAAAACAAAGGTAACTAAAAGTCCCAAATCAGGTATAGTGGTGGCTTTACCACAAACTCTGGAATATACAATTTTAAAATTTGGGAGAGATGGTAATATTGATGCAGGTTAGAATATGAAAAGCAATTTTCTTAGTGAAACCATAAATACAGAATCAAAATATTTATATGTAATGCATGGATCATTTTTTAAAATAATTTTTATTGTGATTAAGTGATTACATAAATTTCACAGTATTGTGGGATAGTGATACTTAGGGTCACAAACACATTTTAACCTTCACAAGGCAAATTGTCATTATCATGGTCTAAAAGTTTATTAATTCTATGAGCTTTGACAATACAACTATTTCTTTCATATTGGATGATGTGTACAGTTCTTTCCTTTTGCTTAGTATAAGCTGTTTCCTCTTTCCCTCTCATTCCCTCTGTCCCAGTTGCTGCCCTTGAGTTGTTTTGTAGTTTGTTTTCTGATGGGCCTCTCTATTGTCTATTTGCCTGTTTCCCTCTGCTTCTGTGCCCTCTTCCTAGCTTCTCTCAGATGTGCACATGTATATACCATATATGTGGTCAAGAACATGGAGTCATTTAGAAATGATATGACAATTAAGTAGAGGTCCTTTGTTTCTTGAGTCCTGTTTACTTTGTCATATCTCCTTTCATTTTGAATTTAACATCCACATATCAGGGAGACTGTGTGCTTGGTTTGTTTTAGTTACATCCATTTCCCTGTGAAAATGCCATTATTTTGTCCTTTCTAATGGCTGTGCAATATTCCATTGTATATAGGTACCATAATTTTTGGATCCATTCATCCGTAGTGGGGCATCTGGGTTGTTTCCATATCTTGGCTATTGTGAACAGTACTGCAACGAACATGGAGGTGCATGTGTCCTTGTATCCTGCTTCCTGTTGCTCAGGGTAGATGCCTAGGAGTGGTATGGCTAGGTCATAGGGAAGGTCTATATTTAGCTTTCTGAGGCACCTACAGACTGCTTTCCAAGTGGTTGTATTGGTGTACATTCCCACCAGCAATGCAATAGGGTTCCTCTTTCTCTGCATCCCCTCCAGCATTTAGAATATGGGCCATTCTGACTGTGGTAAGATGGTATCTCAGGGTTGTTTTTATTTGCATTTCCTTTACTGCCAGGGATGATGCACATTTCCTCATGTGTTTCTTTGCCATTTTTATCTCGTCTTCTGAGAAGTCTTTCTTTAGTTCCTTTGCCCAAATAATGATTGGTTTGTTAGATTTGGGAAGGATTAGTTTTTTGAGTTCCCTGTATATAATGGATATTAGGCCTTTGTCTGATATGTTCCTGGTAAACATTTTTTCTAGGGGCTGGGAAGGTGGCTTAGTGTAGAGTGCTTGCCTTGCATGCATGAGGCCCTGGGTTCGATTCCTTAGCACCACATAAGCAGAAAAAGCTGGAAGTGGTGCTGTGACTCAAGTGGCAATAAATTGGCCAAATGCTAAATATAAATATAGAAATAGACAAAAAATAAAAATAACCCATTTAAGAAACCTG